ATCTGTATATCTGAGCGCATTGCGCCAATGAGTATCTGAGCACACCGCGCTAATGAGTATCTGTATATCTGAGCGCATTGCGCCAATGAGTATCTGAGCGCATTGCGCTAATGAGTATCTGTATATCTGAGCGCATCAAGCCAATGAGTATCAAGGTCACCGGACATCTGAGCGTACCGCGCCAAAGAGCATCAAGGACGMTGTATGTCTGAGYGAACTKAGCAAGWYRATTWACYGTGYCGTAGGCACTTGAACTGAGCAAGTCGATTTACCGTGCCGTAGGCACTTGAACTGAGCAAGTCGATTCATTGTGCCAGCAGGCACTCAAACTGAGTATCTTTGCCAATTTATTGTGCCAGCAGGCACTCAGATTGAGTATCTTCGCCAATTTATTGTGCCAGCAGGCACCCGGATTGAGTACACTGATTTTGCTATGCCAAGGGGCACCCACACCGAGTAGACCGATTTTGGTATGCGAAGGGGCACTCAGATCAAGTACACTGATTTTGCGACTGTGAGCACTCAAACTTGAGTGAGACATTGCGCCCTTAATTTGAGAAAGCCAATGATGCATACGCGACTGTGCGCACTCAGATTTGAGTGGGACACTGCGCTCATTGTCTGAGGAACCCGTTTTAATGATCTTGAGTATATGCGACTGGGCGCACTCAGATTTGAATGCGACACTGCGCTCTTTATCAGAGAAACCCGCTTTGATGATTTTGAGTATGTGCGACAAGGCGCACTTCGTCTGTAAATTTGGCATGATGATTTTGAACATGTGCAACAGTGTGCACTCAATTTGAAAACTCAGCATTGATCATTCCGAGCAAGTGTGACTGTGCGCTCTCGAACTTGGGTGTGACACTACATGATCAATAATGCAAAACTCGACTTTGATGATTTTTATTATTGCTCAATCTGCGTACACTGCTTCTGATGATTCTGAGTGCGCGCCCAGCCTCAGTTTGGCCGTTCGAGTGAGTGTCCAGTCTCAGTTCGGCTGTTAGAGTGCGCGTCCATGCGCGCCCAAGTTGGGCATTGCTGTTAGAGTGTGCGCCCATGCGCGCCCAAGCTTGTCATTGCTGTCAGAGTGCACGCCCCTGCGCGCCCAAGCTTGACATTGCTGTCAGAGTGCGCGCCCCTGCGCGCCCAAGCTTGGCATTGCTGTTAGAGTGCGTGCCCCTGCGCGCCCAAGCTTGGCATTGCTGTTAGAGTGCGCGCCCATGCGCGCCCAAGCTTGGCATTGCTGTTAGAGTGCGCGCCTGTGCGCGCCCAAGCTTGGCATTGCTGATTGAGTGCGTGCCCAAGCGCGCCCAAACTTTATATGGTTATTTGAGTTCGCGCCCATGCCCGCCCATGCTCAATATTGCTTTCTAAGTATGCGCACGTGCATGCCCACACCCGGTATCAGTTTTTGAGTGCGCGTCAGTGCTCGCCCAGGCTTGATATTGATATTAGAGTGTGCGCCCTAACTTGGAATTGATCGAGTGCACACCAAGTCTTAGTTTGGCTGATCGAGTGCGCGCCCAGTCTCTGTTTGGCTGATCGAGTGCGCGCGCAGTCTCAGATGGGCTGGTAGAGTGCATGTCAATGCGCGCCTAAACTTGACATTGCTGTTAGAGTGCGCGCCCATGCGCGCCCGAGCTCGGTATTGCTATATGAGTGTGCACCCGTGTGCGCCCGAGCTCGGTATTGCTATATGAGTGCGCGCCCGTGCGCGCCCAAGCTAGATATTGTCATTCGAGTATGCGCTCACGTGCGCCCATGATCAGTATTGCTATTTGAGTGCGTGCCCATGCGCGCCTATGCTCGACATTGCGATTTGAGTGCGCGCCCATTCGCGCCCAAGCTTGGAACTGCGATTTGAGTGCGCGCCCATGCACGCCCATGCACGCCCAAGCTTGGAACTGTGATTTGAGTGCGTGCCCATGCGTGCCCAAGCTTAGTATTGCTTTTGAGCGTGCGCCCCATACGCGCATACGCTTGGTATTGTCACTTGGGTGCGCCCTGGCTCGGGTAGGCTATGAGAGTAAGTGCTATGATGATTTTGGAATGCGCGTCCCGCCGATGTGATGTTCGGGGATGCATGTCCAGCGAGTGTGATTAGTCTTGAGGACGTGACTGGATGCCTCTGATGGCAAGACTAGGCCCAAGACCCCGCTGATTTGATTTCTCGCTGATCAGTCTCCGCATAAACGATATTCATATCAGACCCTGTGCAGACGGTATTTTTCCTGCACGCATGATATCAGTGCAGTTCGGTTTGCAAGTGCAATGTTTTGCGAATGGCCTCTACATAGATAATATCTTGATGATCAGTCTTTCTCAGTGACAATACCCACAATTCAGTCCTCGTGCTCTAGTCCACTCGCTGCGGAGACGTTCGTATGATGTTCCTATATCGAGTTGTTGCTGATCAGCCGGGCCCATTCAGGCGGGCCCCTATATCGAGTTGTTGCTGATCAGCCGGGTCCATTCAGGTGGGCCCCTATATCGAATTGTTGATGTTTTCAGCCGGGCCCATTCAGGCGGGCCCTTGTATCGAGTTGTTGCTGTTTCAGCCGGGCCCATTCAGGCGGGTCCCTATATCGAGTTATTGCTGTTCAACCGGGCCCATTCAGGCGGGCCCCTATATTGAGTTGGTTGCTACCAGTTTGGCTTGAGGGTCTATTGAGGTGCTGTCCTCTTTTCGAGTTGGGTTATTTTCCTGGGCTATTGATATCCCCCTCATCTCCAGGACATCATTGCTTGGCATAGCAGCTTGCCCGGGGCATTCTATATTGCAGATTGTTTAAGCTGGCTTCTCAACATGAGACAACCCCTACATGGGGTAAGCTAGTTGAGAAGTTTTGTTATCGACACATTGGACATCAGAGCTTCGTTATTCGGGCCAATGAGTCTCCCACATCGAGGTACACATCGGTGATCACTTATCACGTGAGAGATGCTGGGCAGGGAGTGAAGGGAACCACCTCCGACCGGATTGCTGACTATATCTTCCGCAGGGAGAGTTACTGGAGGGAACACTGGTTGCATGTGGTGTTTCCCCATATCCCTTTTGCACCAGGTGGTGCCCTCTATGACTTTGACGGTTGTAACCCTAGACCATTGAGCAGAGGTGACAGCAAGGAAAAGAGGCGTCAAGACAGGAGGATCAGGAGCGACGTGGCCAGATCCGGTATACCTATTACCACCTCTCTACAGAGGTCAGAGACGGATGAGTCAGACTAGGAGCCTTGTTGCGTGAGCGATGTTGACCTGGGGGACTATTTTGACTAGGATACTCACAGGGACTGAGTACGCTTGAGTTCTGGAGCTGGCCCAGAGCATCTTATGACATTGGTCACTGGAGCGAGACGCAGGCCGAAAGCAGCCCTACGACGGGTTGCTTATCTTCTGGCACGATATTTGCTTGAGGGTGATTGATTTGGACATTACATGTCAGGAGGACCCAGGTCAGAGGAGGTAATAGGCCCTTCAAGGGGGAAGGGACCAGTCCCATATCTTGGGGATTACTACAACCATTTGCTGGGAGCAGACTTTGTCATACAAGCTTTTCRGAAGCCTCTGTATGGAGACCGATTCCTGGAGGTTTCATACGACTACATCTATGGCAAGGGACGGATYGAGATCTTGATCGGTGCCACTGACARCATTTCCCTYGCTGAGGAGCTGTACCTTCGRAGCGTTGTGGACGAGGASATGGCSMGATGTATGGCATATATCAGCAAGATCGATCCTACGGYATCCTTTGACATCAGCTACGYGGTCCCAGAGTCGATGGSCACTCAGGTTCTCAATGACGAGRAGGACCAGCGTGTACCAGATATAGAGTCCCAGACAGTCGAGCCCACTCATGAGGGGGTACCACTGGTCGTCATTGATTGAGGCTTGTATCTTTTAGTCACTGAGATGTACTATGACATTATTATGATTTATCAGTGACTGCAGCCCCTTCTTTATGGCTGCTTCCTCCATTCTTTGTGTACTACTCTTCAGTCTCGTGTCTCTGGTCATGCTCTTGCAAAGTCTGGTTTTTGGTCTTTTCGTCCTCTCAGTGTCATCTGTCTTATGATGTATGCCCTGTGATGCATGAAAAGTTTATGCATGTGGTAACAAGTTATCTTTCACTCCTTATCATAACAGGTTACACTCAAGGGTACTTGAAGGACTCCTGGATAATAGGGACTCCGGTGACCTTGAGTCTAACCTTTATACGGGGTAAGGTGCAGACGATAAAACCGAACGCCTCACTCTAAGCCGTGTCGGCGCTGGCAGGAGGGATAACACTGACTACTCGACTGTGTAACCAAGGCTGCTTGTGATTTCACTTTCAATTTTCCTAAAACGCTCCCAAATCCTGCGTGACAACCTGCCAGTCCACCAACCCACCACACTTGGCCCGGGGAGAGACATCGCACCAGGCCTTGGAACGGTGGGGGCGCAACAGCGTGGGACACACAATAAGTCCTTGCCTCTCGAGCGAAGGAGCAAGTATCTATTGGCAATGCGATAGTGGCTGGCCGGCGGGTGATCCGAAGATAGCTATGCGTACAACGTGGCGAAGTCCGGATCAGACTCATATGCCCGGATGAAGTGTCGCTGAAGCTCCTTGTCGAATGCGAAGGCATGATGTGTCATAGCGCAACGATCTTGTCTTCGCGAGAGTGCATCTGCTGCGCGGTTTGAGAGGCCGGGTAAATGTTTCGGTGTGAAGTCAAACTGGTCGATGAAGTACATTCATCGTCCGATCGTGCTGCTCATCGTATCCTGCGTCTTGTAGTAGGTCAATGGATTGTTGTTTGTAACCCATGTGAACCTACGACGCCCAAGGAGGATGTGCCGCCATCGCTTGAGAGCCATGACGAATGCGAGCAGCTTCTTTTTCCTTGCATCATCAAGCGAGTTGATGGGAGACACTTTGTGGCTGAAATACTCCACAGGGTGCTAGTCGTCGCCGTTGTGCTGTTCCAAGACTGCCCCAATGCCATATCCGAAAGCGTCCGTAGTCACTCGCGTCGGCAGGGTGGGTCATAGATGCTAAGGACAAGTGTCATGAGCATGGCCGTCTTAACTTCTCTTAAGTGCTTGGAATGACCGGCGTGCGTCGTCATCGAATGAGAATGGCACCTTTGGCGACTGTAACCTCGTCATAGGTGCAATAATCCTTGAGTATCCGGTGATGAATCGCTGATAGTAGCCCGCCAATCCCATTAATGAACGAACATCCGTGGTGTTGGTGGGCTCAGGCCATACTCGTAGGGCCTCGATCTTGTCCGCAAGCGGACGGATGCCTTGCGGCGTCACATAATGTCCCAAGTACTCCAGCTCCTGTCGTGCGAATTCGCACTTGTCGCAGTTGACTTTGTACTTGGCTTGTCGTAGCCGCTCCAAAACGGTGTGCAGGTGTTCCACATGCTCCTCCAAACCCCGACTGTAGACCAGAATGTCGTCGAGGTAGACAAGTACGTATCGATCCAGCATGTGTCGGAACTCCGTTGTCATAGCCGCTTGGAAAGTGGCCGGGGCATTCGTAAGGCCAAATGGCATAACCAGCCATTCGAAATGCCCATATCGCGTCTTAAACGCGGTCTTGTAGCAGTCCTCCTTGCGAATCTCGAGTTGGTGATATCCCGACTTGAGCTCCAACTTGGAGAAAAACTTGGCGCCGCCCAGTCGCTCGAGAAGGTCGACGATGCGTGGGAGAGGGCCGACGTTCCTGATTGTCTGCGCGTTGAGCTTGCGATAATCGATGCACAACCGCAGGTCCTTGTTCTTCTTTCGGACGAAGAGAACAGGAGCACCGTATTGCGATGAGCTAGGCCGAATCCAACCTTTCTCTAGAAGGTCGTCGAGTTGTGCACGGAGCACACTTAACTCTTCCTCGCGCATTCGGTAGATGCAACCGCGCAGAGGCACGGCCCCGTCCTCGAGGATGATCTCGTGGCGGATGGGCCGATCCGGCACTACTCCGTGCGGGCCTTCGAACACGTCGCTGTTGGCGTCGAGAAGCTCGGTGATGCGTGGATCCGAAGGTGAGTCCGTCGATGAAGCGTCATGGGGCGGGAGGGCGTGGAGAAAACACATCCCCATCTCCTCGATATCGTCTCTGATGATGGAAGCTCGCATGCTTGAGGCGGATACCACGTGGCAGCTGATCGAAGGATGAGGAAGAGGCACCGTGCATGGAACTAATACTCGGTTCCGGTCACGAACGTGAACGGTGCGGTTGAAGAAGTTCATCGGGTGATCCTTGCTTCGCCGCCATGACATGCCCAAGATCATGTCGAATTTGGTGTCCAGAATGTCAAAGGACACCGCCTCACTTGCGTGAGGGGCAAAGTACATTGGGACGTTGTCAATGCACCAGTCGATTGACTTGTGCGTGTGACCGTCCGCCAATGTAACTTGCGTAGGCTGGGGCTTCTTCCGGACGCGTGGGCCAAGGCCGACGCGCACCATGAAGTCCTGGCTGATGTAGTTGCGAGATGCTCCGTAATCGATCAAGGCGTTGCAGGTCGCCTCTCCGATCTGAATGCGTACATATAGCAATGGTGCGTCGATATCGTCGTACCATTGCRTCTTGAACTCGCGGTCGATCTTCGCAATGTAAGCGTGAAGGTCGACAACCTCCACTCCGGCGTCCATCAACGGAGCTGGTACTGCAGTGTGCAAGTAATCCCGCAGTTGTGCCATGAGCACATTGCAATGCGATTTCGGCAGTCGTCCGGTCGAGGGAACGGGCATCCACTGGACGTCCGTGAACGTCAATGGGCCGAGCTCTTCAAGTCTTGACCATGACGTCGAATCCCCGGCGATAGATTGCGGCAAAGGTACCGAATCGGTTGCCGATGGTGATGAAACTGGCATGCGATGTGTTGTTGCACGTGGAGCGGTTGGTCCAGCCCTGGAACCAAGTGGACCGCATAGTCCCCGTAAGTGTAACGAGAACTTGCGACATTCGCGTTCTCCCCAGATGTGCAGGAGGCCGCTAGCAAGGCGGCCGAATCTGGCGGAGTAGAAGGTGGAGTCGCCTCACCTTCCGCGGAGCTCAATTTCCCGAGCTGAGGCGGGGTCACATATCCTCCTTGCCCTGATCTTGGCACAGGGAGGTCTTGTGCTTGGTGCTGTTGCACCAATAGCACCTGCCGTAGCGGTCGCGGACCTTGTACTCTGCCTCGGTCAAGCCGAACTCGACCCATGGAACTTGTACTGGCTGTCCATTTTCGGCCTGCGATGCGGATTTCGCCTTCCCATTGTTGTGGGACTTGTTGTTGCTTCGCGGCTGGACAGCAGCCACCTCATCTCCGTCACTTGATGCAGGAGTGGCTGCTGGGTTATCTCCACTGTCCGACTTGAGTGCAGCGAAGTGCTGCTGTCGCGGACCAGTTCGTACCTTCTCCACATAGGTCGGTTGCCATGTTGATTTGTCGTGTGCAGCTGACCTATTGGTCTTGATGATCTCTCTCGCTTTGTCGATAATCTCGGCGAAAGTGGAGTAGTGCTCGCGATCACCAAGAGCCTGGCGCAATGCCGCACAGGACCTGTTGTAGAACTCACAGCGTAGATGCGTGAATGCCAATTCCAGATTGGGCACCGCCTCAATCTTCTTCCACTCCGTGAGCCAATCCCTTGTTGCAGTGTTGCCCTGTGACATGGTGAACAGACGGTTGATGGCGAGTGTCGGCGAGTCGTCGACGATGAACCGCTTCTTCCACAACCGTGTAAGTTCCTCCCATGTGATTTTGTCCTTCAAGTCCGGTACGTCGACGCCGTGGGAGGTTGCCAGGTGGCTCAACCAGGTCTGGCATCCGCCCTTTGAGTTCAGGAACAGGGCGCCGATGTACACATGCTTGGCGACAGGCAGAAGCCTGAGTTGTGTCGCGAATGCCTCCCACCAGAGGACCGGATCCTGCTGTGTGTAGTCGTCGAACTTATCCAGTTGAAAAGTTGGCATCTTGTACATCTTCGGATTGTCATCCGCGTTCGTCGACTGCAACTACTGGACCTCGGTCTTCAAGGTATGCAACTGACTGCTGATGGTGGTCGGTGCAGCAAAGGTGCTGATGTCGCCGAGCATTTCCACTACGTGGTCAACGCGTTCCTCCAGTTGGCGGCCAGAGGATGCACTGCTGGAAGCCCCAGCAGCTGGTCCAGGTACAGCCTGTTCCAGGTCCAACAATCGGGCATTGAGTGCCCGAGTTGCATCCTCGTGGCTGTGCACTGTATGGCGGAACTTTGCCAACTCCTGATGCTGTTGCGTCAGGTCCTGGTACTGTTTCTCCAACTCGGACCGTTGGTAGTTGCAAGCATACAACAACTGTGTCACGAGTTTGGAGAGAAACTCCTTATGCTGCTCTTCCGGTGTTCCATCGTCGCCGTTTGGTTCAAAGTGCCAGAACCTGAGTTTTTCGATGCTTGTGGCTTCATGCCGCTGCAGCAGATCCTAGGCTTCCTTGCGGCGAGCCTGGGCATCTGCGTCTGCTTCGGCCTGTAGCCACAGCTTCTCTGCTGTTGCCGCTTCTTCAGCCTGTAGTTGGGCAGCCTTGACTGCCAGCTGGCGTTGTTCCTCAGCCTCGATTGCAACGAGTTGAGCATGGAAGCGCTTTTCGTAGTCGGCAATCGGCTCATTGGCCAGTTGCTGACATGGCTCTGCTGACGTGGCTCTGCTGACGTGGCACTGTGTGTTACGTGGCACTGCTTACGTGGCACTATGTCTGACGTGGCACTGCTGATGTGGCACTGCTTACATGGCACTCTATCTGACGTGACACTGCTGACGTGGCACTGCTTACTTGGCACTCTGTCTGACGTGGCACTGCTGATGTGGCACTGCTTACGTGGTACTGTACCAACCCGGAAATGCATGCAAAGGGTGGGTGGGAGGGAAAGACGCAGGTAGGAAACCAACCCAACAATACTTTCCTCCGGCCCTAATCAACAGATAAAAAAATAAAAAATTAAAGAGGAATACTTCCTTCCTCTTTTATTTTTTTTTTATTTTTATATCTCTCGATCTATTATAAGTAGGACATGTCAGATGAGTACTATGAACCAGATCTAGGCTAGGTTCCGCAAAGTTTCAGCTTTATGAACTGTGATCTTGAAAAAAAATTTGCGAAATGGACTAATGATGCGATTTTCAGAAAAGAACGAATCCAGTTTCTGAGAATATGGCAACCTCCGAATATGCCTAACGCAATATTGGTAGGCTTCGCAAGATTTCAGTTTCCAAAAAAAAAAATTTTGCGAGATAGAATGAAAATTCGATTTTCAGGAAAGAATAGTTCAAGTTTCCGAGAATATGACCACTTCTATCGTTATCCCAATATGCCTAGAGAATGAAATACTAACTTCAGAAATTTCAGCTATGTATGCAAAATATCAGAGAAACGAAAAACTACTATCGGGAATTTTCAGACAAAACGAAATGCGATTTATCAGAAATTTTCAGATATTTGTTATGTAAAAACAAACTACTAATATCAGAAATTTTCAGGTAAAACGAAATGCGAATATCAGAAATTTCAGATAGTTGTTGCGATAATTTTTTTTCTTTAGAGATTTGACTAAGCCCTACTTGCGTTACTAATGAGTGATCAATAGATCGCAAGCTGGCTACTTGATTGAGCGGGTCCTCTAAATGAGAGGTCCGCTCCGATACCAAACTGTTGCATACTGTAACGTGCAGACCAGAACAAGAACCGACCTCTCAATGCAAAGTACAAGATAACACAGCGGAAGACTTAGATACGAATGATCCGAACAATCAATATTGCAATGCAGCCCTGAACACACATCATCATCGTCGTTATCTGGTGTGAAGGGGGTCTGGCGCTTCACACAAGAAGACTGCGCCAGCCCCAACCATACACAGACGAAGAAGGAGGGGTTAGACGAAAGAGGAGGGGAAGATGGGAATGTCGTCAACACCAAGTCTCGGTACAGGCCCAAATAGTCCCTCGTCGAAATGTCTGAATCCCAATGTCCAGTCGAG